TTATTTTGCTTCCTGAACACATGTGCATATATCTTTGATTGGCTTTGATTTATCCTTTCTAAGACCCTTGTGAGGGATGTTTCAACATGAGTCCTTCAGAGCGAGGTGTCGTCTAGGAAGTAACCGTTATGTCAACCCTTCGCAGCCAAAGCAGCGTGTTCACGTAGTGTAAGAATCTTCTGGGCTGCATGTCATGAGGGGAAAAAAGTGCACCACCTTTCTCCAAGAGAACAGAACATTGACACAATCTCATTGGGCAAATGAACATCCAAGTGGCCGGTACAGAAGAAGTCCCCTCTCTCTAGCCTCACAGTGCAGTCGCCATGGACAAAAGACCACGGGACACCAGTCATCTTGAAGTGGAAGTGACTCAAGGCCACAGTGGCATCTGGATCCACCCCGGGGAACGGGCTCCCTGTGAGAAGTCCCAGCGCTGTGGTCAGCCCAGCCCGCACTCGTGGCACTTACCCCGTGGGCGTCCTTAAGAAGATGGGTGCGCGTTAGCGGGCACGGGGACTCACGCTGTCTGACCAGGTGACCACCTGGCTTTTCCTGGAGGTGCAAGTTTCCACCGCCTATGTGAAGGGAGAGGATTACCTGTTCCACCCCAAGAGGAGACACTTGGAAAGGAGTGACGCGCCCTACAAGCCAGCCCCTGCTTCCCATAGGTACAGAGAGCCTCTCAGTCCTTATAATTGATTCTCAGGCCTGTGGCAGCCTCCGTTATCAGTCCACCACGCATGCAGAGAGTGTGATTCATGCGCGCTCACGTGGCCCACGCGGGACGCGCCTCAGACACATGACAGTAGCATCACTTTTTAATCAGCTGTCTGAGGAATATTTATCTGATCAACAAAGAGCACTGTAAGAAGGTGACATTAATAAGCCTGCGGCCTCCTGCTGCAATGACCTGCTCACTTGAGCCTGCCGGTGAACTAAGGAATATTTTTGTTCGTGTATAAAAAGCTAGTCCAAGAGTCTCGTGTTGGAGATCCGCTCTCTGAGGAGTTCTCAGGCATTCATATGCTGTTGTAAAATAAATGTGGTTTTTTTTTTTCAGTTTAGAGAAATTTTAAGAGATTTTTCCTTTAAAAAGAAATGTCTCCATGTTGGCGCCAGAAGGTGAACTGTGAGCTGAGGTTAAACCCAAGACTCGTTTTGGATATCACGGCCCCTCGTTATTGCACAAACCCATATGAAAAGCTGTGGCTTCCAAAAAATGAGGAGCTGTGTAATCGCTGGAAGTTGTTAGCTCTAAATGATTCCATCTACTCTAACTTAGTAGAAAGCCATAATTTGCACATTTTTTTTTCCTTTTTTTCTCCGTCTGTCTTTCAAGAGATTGTGACTGTCTGTTAGTAATTACGAGAAGTTGAGTATATCATACTATACCTCACTTGGCCACGCAGATGCAGAATTACTCGTTTGTCACCGTCAGGCACCTTAGAGAAACAATCTGTGAGTTCAAGTTTGTGCCAGTTCCTTGCATTAGGTGGCTGACCCAGGATGCCGTCCACCCACCCCATCTGCCAGCCTGGAGACCCGCTGCAGAACAGAAATAACTAAATGAACAAACGTGAGCCTCAGCTCATTCGCCCACCCCAGAATGTCAGGCACAGAAGGGACTGCCTTATGGATTCAGTGTGCTGCTGGCACCTGGAGTGCCCACGTCTATGTTAATTTTAAGGAAAATCAGCAGTACCATTCTTACATTACCGAGCAGTACACTTTTCGTCATCTTAATCTGGGGGGTGCACATCAGTACTCTTAACCTGAGTTTTTCGGTTTTGATGCTCTTCATCTCTAGACCCGACAGTCTGAGCAGTCCGGTGAGGGGTTTTGTATCTCTCTCTCCATTGCAGTCCCTGGCCATCCACATTCGCTCATCCCGCCTCTCACTATGATACCCCCACAGCCATGGGCTTGGTACTTAACCCCGGTGCCCGTTCCATGCTGCTCTGCTAATGTTCCCTGTCCCTGAGCCTGCTGACTTTTCTGCTTACCCAGATTAGAGTCCAGAAAGTTCTGTGTAGTTTGCAAGCTGGAGTGAGAAGAGAGCAAGCTCACAGTCTGGTATCTGGGCTGGCAGTTTCTGCTCGCAGCAGAACTGAAGTGCAGTTTATGGCCATGGGATTTGGTGTCCGTGGAGCTGTGGCCCTGAGGGTTCAAATGTCTGAGGTGGTGCTGAGCCACAGTGCTGTTTAAGCAGGGTGAGAACCCATTTACAGGAGCAGCTGCTGCTCACTCTGTTAGCAAAACCGTGGGTTGGAAACACTGACAGAAAGCTCACCCCCGTAACAGGTGGGATTTTGATGTTAAAATAGTGGCGTTTTGTGGGATATAACATTAATGAACAAATCAAAATGTTACTCCGTATTTCTGAAAGTTAAAAAAAAAAAAAAACACTTTAATTAAAATGAGGGTTGCCCAGGAAGGTCTTTAGAGCTAGTCCTCATGAGGTCCAGAGATGTTGGCGACTGCCGAGGCCTGAGGACATCACTGTGGCATGTGTAATGGTCGGTGGCACATGGCACCATCAGACGGGTTGTTTGACACAATGTCCCTGGTTCCCCTGGAAGTGGAGCCAGACAGCAGCGTCAGTCCTACCCTGAGATGTTACCCATGATAATATGGTTGTATTTTCTCTCTGAGAAGCTTCCAAACAAGACACCTTAGAGCAATCAATGCTGCAGGAGACAAATGCACATATCAGGACCTTGGTATCAGCCAGAAAGTGGCCATTTGTTTAGGAAGAAGGAAAAGGCATGACATTTTACACATTAAAATTGATTATTTCATCAATAGGTTAATAGAAAACCAGGCTGCAAGTTCACTTCGTGCTTATACATCCCTACGGTAATGGGAGATCGGGGCATGAAAAATGCTAGGCATAAAGCAGCCAGGGAAAGGTTTCCTGCACACGAACACCCCTCCCTTCCAGAGGGGTACCCAGCCGGATTCTGCCTATTTATATGTAAATGTTTGAGAAAGAGGCAGAGGAGACTTCAGCTGGAGCTCAACTGTGGTGCTACTTCTTCCTGGAACTTGTGAAATCTGAAAACTCAGAGCTTCAGCTGTTGGAAAGTCGAGCACATATTTAATTCTGCAGAAACTCCATCCTATGTGCCTGCAGAGCCTGGTGACATTTCTAAAGAACTTGAAAAATGACCCGCCCGCTCTCCTTCGTTATTTAACAAGTGGGATTTGCTCTGGGCAGTACCCGAAGCTCCTTTTGCCAGTGCAGTATGTCCTGGGACAGACCCTTAGGTGGGACTTCGCGGGTCGTGAAGAGAGTGTGCAGATCCAGAAACGCAGGAATCTTGTCCACTCATGGCAAGCCAAGTACATGCCTGTACATGATGAGAGGAAGGCTTCCATCACCAGTAGGGGTTACATTTCCCTATAAAGTATCTGCTGATACTCAAACCACCAGGTAATTCTTGGGTGTCTAATGATAACAACTTTGTATCGCTTTTAAATGAAGAAACCAAGTCCCAGTTTGTTTGTGCTCTCGTGGCTAATGTAAAATTCACATCCTGAATGTACAGTACTATATTTCAGAATTGTATTTGCTCTTTTTACAGGTAGGGCTTCTAGCATGTACTGTTTTGTGTCATAGCTACAAGGAAATCTGATGTGCACAGAGAAATCCAGTGAGATTTGCTTTGGCAGCAGAACTCATCAGAGTCCTGGTCATTCCCTCCAGTCACTCTCTTTCTGGCCATCAGAACTTGTACAAACACAGAGCCTGAAACCAGGGTCCAAACCACACTCCTCAGGTTGAGAATTTGGGCTGTGCCACTGTGGTAGGCAGGAAGAGTTAGCCGTCCTGAGTCAGGACTGTGGTGGGGTTGGAGAGCTGAGCATCACCAGGCCTGTGAAGCGTGAAGGGCTGCTTCTTCGCTTCTCCCTTACGTTACACAAGTGGTTATCCAAACAGAGCTGGATGGCCGCTCCACCCAACTTCTCCCCCTGGATGTGAATGTCCAGAGACGGACGGCCCCGTGGTACCCTTCTGCAGGAGCATGAGAGACTGTCCCCGCTGCCGAGCCTGCCCGTGTGTCTCCTGCGTAGCGGACCCATCCATCCAGCCTTTTGATGTGTGGCTGCATCTTCAGCTGCTCAAGGACCACTCTGTTTCACTGTTTGCCTCTCCACAGTGTCTCCTGAAGGACTGAGGGAGATCCTCAGGTTGGCCTCTTCCGGGCCACAAGTGTTGGCATCCCTGAGCTGAAGGTTGGGAGGGTGGAGGCCACTGTGTCCCTGGAGATTGGGGGTTCTGTGTCACCCCGGCAGGGTCATAGTGGTCAGACTGAGGGGCCAGCACCCCCCTGGGCAACTGGTGTCTCTCCCTGCAAAGAGCCTGTGAAGGCATTTGTCCTTTGAGCTCCTAGGAGCTCCTTTCACAGCCTGCCACCTCCCTAGAGATGAACGATAATGGCCTCCACCCTTTTGCCACCCTCAGTTCATCCTGGGGCTTTGCTGCTGTGGGTACTGCCCAGCCTAGAGTCTGCCTGGTGAAATCTACTTCCTTTCTTGACAGCTCTTGGTTTTAAAGTCCTGCCTTCCTCAACAGGAACTGCTAATGGCCAGTCTCTTGGTTTGATATGCTCCTAATATTCTGCCGCACGCAAGAGCTCATGGCTCCTGGATCATAGCTCATTTGAAGGAGGCCACAGCCCCAAGGAAAAGGCCAGCATGTTCCCTGCTCTGAGTAGCCGCCGTTTGCACAGGGGTGCATGTACTTCGTTGCCTGGGCCCTTCTTTGATTCTGTGCAGACCCCATGCACGCTGCCTTTCCAAGCCCCTCATGGACGATAGGGGAATGGCAGGCCAGGCCCTGGAGCCCCGTGGGGGCCACCAGCATCGCGCGAACCTGTGGCTCGGAGATGACTTCGTGTGCTACTTTGACATTTCTTTACTCCCCTTTTTCATTTGTTTTCTTTTCCTTTTTGTTTTCTCTCTTCTCCCCCTTTCCCCTCTCTGCTGTCGGGATGCAGCCAAACGCAAAGCATGGAAACTAAACCGTGTTGGTAGCCTGCGAAATATATACAGCAGCAGCAGCACCAACACCGAAGGTAACGCCTTGCACTTCTCCGCCTCCCGCCTCCCTCCTCCCTCCCGATGCAGACGCGGAAATGCGCCCGCCCGCCGCATGCTTCCCTGTTGTGTTTGCAGACTCATTCCCGTGGTCTCCATCTTTCTGTTTGTGTGTTTTATTTTACCATTCATGTTCCTTTCAGCTTACTTAAATTTTGACCTTTCTCTCCAGTCGTAGAGTAGTGATGTTTAAATTACTTCAGAAACCTATTTTCTCCTCTTTTTTTCTTTCCCTTTATACATGTGGGCATTCAGTGTAATATTTCCCAAGTTATTACAGTTTTTAAAAGTGTTAGTATCAGGTGTAATGATCTGTAGCCAAATACAATAGTGTGCCGTGACATTTAAGTAACAGTCTTAATTTGTTTTGTGGAAGCATTCTCCGTAATGCTGGCTGCAGCTCCGATCCAGAGGCAGGCAGGCCCGGACCATTTGCATGGGCTGCTATTGCTTGTAAATTCCGTATATTGTTGTGTTTCTAAAGGTCGTCGGGTGCCAAAGTTCACAAATTGACTCGCGTTGCTGTTTTCACCGAAGACAGCCGTCATTGCTTTTGTATAATAGCAGATTGAATTTTTCCCCCACCTTCATTTGAACAACACAATTATAAATTGCCTTTTTTTTATGATTACAAATGTCAAGGGTCAGAATTATTTTGATGCCAGGCAAGGGAGAAACCAGCACCATCAGCCCACGTACACGGAAGGGAGGCCGGTGCGTAGTATGTGCGATGCAAAACAGGTCACAATCCAGCGAGCTCGGGATAATGGGGGGAAGTTTTTTTCACTTAAGTGCAAGCCAAATGGGTCAAATAATCGCAAGCTCATGCCCTAACACTAATTGACTTATTTGGGGATGATTATAACTGTAATATTTTTCTTAATGTCACTGTTTTCTGGGCTGTTGGTTTTAGCGATTGCCAAGCAGTGGCATTAAATCTCTTGTAAATTTTAAATTGCACACTATTTCTGTAAACAAGTCCCTTCTTCACATCCCGGTCATTAACCTTTGCTGATTTATATCACCATCCTCTTTTTCTTCCTTTCACAATTACTCCTGACTCGCTGCTGAAAGCCCTACTCTCGGCCAGGGGGAAAAAATGAATTTGGAAAACAAAAGTACATTTGCACGATGGCTCGTTAAAGAGCCATTTTTAATCATAATTTTTTTTGTTGTTCCTCAGGGGAAAATTGTCCGTTAAGGTACCAGTGGAGCTTGGCCTGTTGGTATCTTCTCTCCAGCATTGAGAGAGAGAGAGAGGAGTAGGATTCAAGAAACAGTCCCATTCGGTATCATTTTTGTGCTTTCTAGAGGGTGTTAACGTACTCCTCTGCTATTTTTAAATGTTAGTCTTTCAGCCCAAGGTACATATCATTTCTCTTCCCTGTGTCCTCATCAAATACATGTTGCTTTTGTATGCATGTAGATTTTCACACCTATTTATTTATTGACCTCTCGCCTTAGAAAACAAAGTTGGGAGGTCTGGTTTGAAATGCCATTGAATACCAACCCCGTGGACAGTAAAGAGACTCGGTTAGCCCCTCAGCCCCAAGGGCAGGCGGCCCCCACCTGAGACGTGCTGGGGGCCCTCAGGAAGCCACTGTGGGGCTGCAGGACTCCTAGTGCCCAGCGTGACCATTCCCAGGGGTGCTGGCTCTGCAGCCTCACTGATCAGGTCACCCCCCCCCGCATCCCTCCGTCTTCTGCTCTGCCCGCTCTGTGACCACTGGACAGCTTGGCAAGCTGGGGGTTCCTTAGCAGCAGCCACTCCAGGCAGTGGTATAGGTTCCACGGTAAGCAGTAACTACAGAGCCGACTCCCTCTTGTACACTCTCCCATTTTTCTCAGTCACAGTAAGTTTCTGTTCTGTGTTCATTTACATTTGTGAATTTTCAATTAAGTGGCCTGATCATTCTTCACGTACTTTGGGTCTCTTTTAAGGTTAATATCTGTACGTGTACAATCTCATCTTGTACAGCTTTTAATTGCATATTATGGAATTCACATAATGATGTACAGCATCGAATGCCTCTCTCACTTCCAGCCTTGGGATGTAAGGAGCCAGCACATGTTCATTGTCTGTAAAGGGCCTTTTATGAACATTTGTCTGCTGAGCATTCAGATTTGTGTTTCAGCCTGACGCCTGAAGGTGACACTAAATGTGCCGTCCTGAAATGCAGCATTTTTGTGAATACTCCACTTCAGTAATTTATTCAGAGGTTCCCAGTAAACACCGTCAATATCAGGTGGACACCAGTCAAGTTCCCTACAGATCATTGGAACTTGAATTTCAGTAATGAGGAGGTGAGAAAGGCCCACAGAAGCTGGAGTGTGGCTCAGATACTCGCAGACCCTCCAGGGGACACAGATCCCGAGTGACAGGGCCACGGTGTGAGGCCCATGGTCTCTCAGAAGCCCCTTTTCTTCTGTGTCCTCTTTGCTCTGCCTCTGGACTACATTCTCTCATTTAACCGTCACAGTCCCCCGCCAGGTAGAGATTATCTCACAAGCAGAAAGTCTGGTGATTTTTTTATAAAACTTGCTAACACGCTCTGGACACAGGACCTACACCCAGATCTCTCTGTTCTGGGTCCTCCTCCCAGATCCCCACAGGAGGGGAGATGGCTGGGTATCAGGAGTGGCTGAAAACAAACTAATGTCATGAGGAAATTCCACAGAAAGATTAGAAAACAATCATTGTTTCAAATCTTCATTGTCTTTTGAGAATTGAACTCTTTCTCAAGATGGATAAAATTTAATTTCCCTCATAGGAATAGGACTTTCGTCATTGTATCTCAGAAGCCTGTGATGTGGGGATAGAGGTGCATTCATGATGGGAATCTCCACTTAGCAGCTGCCTCCCCACCCAAGAAGAACAAAGAAATGACCGTCAGGTGCCCAGGGCTAGACCTGGGAATGTTCAGCTCTGTAGCTAGCACCACAAACTGGACTGGTACCAAGAGAACTGTGTAGGAGTGAGAATCATTGTGCAGAAGAAAAGTCTGGGTGGGAGCAGCTGCTGGGTCTCATCAGCATCTTCCTCAAGGGCAGGATGACATCTTGGGGGAACTCATCTTCTCTCAGGCTCCCAGAAGCAGGCAGAAAAAACCAGCTACTAGGATGGAGTAGGTGGACAGGCTCTCTCCCAAGGGCGCTTGAAATTGTTCTGGTGGGAGAAAAGTACTTGCCCGGATAAAGAATGATAGGTAAAGAGATCCTGGGTGTTGGGTGCAAGTCTCCTAGACCTGTCCCCACATTCCACGGGCTGCCCTGCCTTTCACAGACAGTGAAGTGAATACCTGAACACAGTCCGCTCACACTGTAGGTGGCCTTCAACCCAGGGACCATCCAGGCTCTGTGTTGATCTGATGTCCCACACTGACCTCCTTGCTCTGTTGTATCTGAAAAGTGCCATTTCTGTGGGTTCGGAACATGCTCCAGACAGCCCATGGGGAGCCCCTGCTCTGGGCACGCTCTACATTATATGCGCCTTCCCCGCAGAGTTTCCCAGCAGCCCCTGGTGGGGTCAGGCAGTCTCCCTTTGGAGGATATCACCCCACAGATGGAGCTCAAAGCCTTAGGTCTGTGTCAAGCCCCACGCCTACCTCCTTCCTGGAGCGAGGGAAGAGAGAAGGTCACAGATCCTCTGAGCAAGGCTGAGGAGGCCTGTCCTGCATGTGCCCACCACCGTCAGCCTGAGATTTCACAGAGCTCAGTCGCACTACCCACGCACACTCAAGGCCTGGTGTCTGTCAAGGCTAAGGAGTCTCCTTAGAGCTGTCTGCCCCTGCTGGGGTCCTCATCCTCTGGGCCAGTACCTGAGCACGCGCAAGGAGAAGATGCCACACTCACTGCCCAAAGAGCACGCTGAGAGATGAGGGAGACACATTCCGAAAGAAGCTCTGGGGATTCAGTGGGGTGCAGAGCTGCCTTTGATTAAGGGGTCAGAAACGATGTCCCATCTGTGGGGGTATCACACTAAGTACTGGACACCCCCAGTATAAAGGAAAAGAGGTTTATTTGGCTCACAGTTACAAAGGATGCAGTGCATGGTCAAGCCAGGCACATCAAGATGGAAAACGTGCTGGACCAAAGCTGCTTGGTTCATGGTCGCCCAGAAGCAGAGCAGGGAGTGCCAGAGAGGAAGGGGCCAGGGACTAGGCATGGACCCTAAAGTCACAGCTCCATGGCCCACTCAGGAACACCCAGAAGTGAGCTTTCCTAACCCACTGAGCAGCTCCCATGCCAGTCAGGTGGACCCTCAAGCTTAACAGTCCCCATGGGGCTTCATAGGAGCCATGGCCACTGCCGCACAGGAACGAAGCGATTCCCAGAATCCTGTCACGGAACCATCCAGCACCATGGGGAGAGAGGTTGTATCCACTCCATTTTATAAGAAAAAGCTGTGGCCAGAAGAAGGACATGTTGGCACACAGAGACTGGTAGGCATCATGCGTTCCACGTGGGAGCAGCAGTCTGCACCTGGGCTGCTTGGTAAAGAGGTGCAAATACCTCTTCATGGCCCTGGCGGGGACCAGGCAATCTGCAGGCAGCTGTTGTTCCCACAGAGGTGGAAGGTTGCCTGCCCCCCCACAGTCACCTTACCATGCCAGAGTGCTGGGCCTGCCTCAGAAAGTGGGGCTCACTTCTCCCTGTGCCTGGGCACCCAAGGCAGTCCCTGAGAAGAGCAGGATGTATCTGAGTCCTTTTCCTGAGGACTGCCTGCACCATCGGAATGGAGTCCCCAGCATCTTCCCCCACCACCTTCCGGTCCGCCAGCTTAGAAATTGTGCAAGCGGTGTGTTTGTAAGAGGTGGTGGCCAGCGGTTTCTGTCCCAGGCTCTTGAGCCAGGTGGTCTTGCTGGGGTCCCACTTCAGCACTTTCTACCTCTAACCTCTGGGCCATTGATGTGTCCCCCATGTGCCCTGGTTTCCCTGCTTGTGCACAGGGGTGATGGTGCCTGGTGCACCAGGTGAG